GTCTCCTGCCCCTTCCTGGAAGCTCACTGAGGGTCCTGGCCCAGGTGTCTATCATGCCCATCTCCACAGAGCTGGAGGCTCAGTTAGAGCACGTGGAGGAGCACTGACCTGCCAGAGTCGCCTGAGTTCCAAGGAAGACAAGGCCATCACTGACCCTCAAGATGGCCCTCATTTGAAAGCAGCATTTCCCTTCTACTCACTTCCCCAGTGGTGTCAGTGGCTCTTTGTCTAAAACTTCAGGCTGGGCACAGGTGGCTCAATGTTGCTGCTCCAGCTGGAGCTGCCTGGGAGTCAGAGTAGCTGGCAGATATGGAGGACTCAGGCCACTTCCAGACACACCAGACAACAAAGCATCTAGGTCACCACCTTCACCTATAGAATGGCTCCACATGAGTAAGGAAAGACACCGACTGGCTGAGGAGTAGTCAGAGAGGCTTCTGGATGTTTCTATGGCAGGAAACATGACTGACCCCAGCCCTGAAAGCTGACCACAGCTATAGGTCCCTATCACCTTTTCTTTCCCTTTACAGACGTGGAAGAATGTAAGCAGAACCCCAAAATATGTAAAAGCCGCAGCATCTGCATCAACACCCAGGGCAGCTACACCTGCAAGTGCCAGCCCGGCTTTGAGCTCAACCCGAAGGACCCGAAGCAGTGCACAGGTAGAGGCCCTGGAGGACACCGTGGGGCTGTCCTGGAGCTGGGGATGGACCTGACTTTTTGTGCAGAGGAGGGAGATGATACTCAGGTTCCCACAGAGCAAGGCCCGCCATGGTGCTGCCCAGATGCACCTTCCTGGGTTTTCCCACCACAGAGCAGGAAGGGGCGGAGCCTGTTGGCCTGAGTTTCCTTATGAAACTGCCTGCCCCTGTGAGCACTCCCTGGCCCTGGCCCCTTTCTCCTCTGTCACAAATGAGTACTTTTGGAGGAGGGATCACTCCTGGCTCTGAAATGGGGAACCTCAGTCTAGGGCTAAGGAGGAAGCATTGAGAAGCCTTGAGCAGGAAGTCCAGCTCCCTAGGCCAAGTTTCC